AAGATTTCTTTGTGACCCGAATTTGGCAATCGACTCAACCCTGCAAGCAAGATACACCACAAACCACCTGACAATTTAATGTCACCAGTGTCCTTTCTACATCCTGTCTGTGACTAATTTCCAGTGCTTCAGAGGCAGTTGCAAAAACCCTCAGAAGCCAAATGCAGGTGAGGAAGAGGGCCAGAAGAAGCCCTCAAGCTTGGGAATGGTAGAAGTACAATGCAAAGAGTTAGCGTTTCAGTCTCCCTTCAAAATCCCTTGGATATACCAAAATATCCTGGTCTGATTTAAAATTATTTAGGTTGCTTCTGCCTGTCTGTTCCCTCCTGGAATGGTTAGAAAGCTTTTCAGTCGAAAGCAACTCATGACCAATTTATAACCGTATGTCCTCGTGATAGTACGATTCTTTAATTTAAATAGTTCTTCTTCCTTGTTATTGACCCTTCCAATGTATTTATAATGAATCATCGCTCCTTTTTGCAGCCCTCATTTTGCAGCTAAGCAAGCCAAGGACTTTTAAGCTCCTCTTTGAGAAGGCAGACACGCCATTCCCCTATCATCCCCGTATTTCTCTTCTGCACCTGTTCCAACCTGAGTCAATCTTTTCTGATCCTAAGTCACCAGAATTGTACATAATTTTCCAGATGAGGGTCCTTAGCATTGCTGTGTAAAGCTGTACTAATACTTTCCTATCTACTAAAAATACCCCACTTAGTGCATCACAGTCTCATATAAGCCTTCTCCACAGCTATTCCCTCTGGCAGCTCACAGTCGTTTTCTCATCAAGGAATATACTCTCTTAGACGGTAGTAAGGTCAGATGAGTAGGCCTAAGATTACTGGTATCATTACCCTTCTCCTTTCACCAAGAGTGTTTTAGATGTCAGGTACTACCACTAACCTTGAACAAACCCTTGCTTCTGCAATTATAATTTAATTTGCCAGTTTCTTTCAATATTTCTGGGTAAAGATCATCCTTGAATTCCTCTGTCCTAAAAAACTCATCAGTTTCCTTAGTTTCTCTAAGTTGCTATTTTGTGCGCCCAAGGTTCAGACAAAGATCTACTCTTATCCGCCTTACAATTTAACAGAAGTAGAATCAGTTCATGATCACGCAGTTCAAAATTATTCTCCATACTATGGTCTTCTACATGGTTCTAGCTGCTTATTAATACTAGGCCTAAAATAGCATCGTCTTTCATGGTCTAAGTCCCTGTCTGCTTGAGAAATCTACTTTCTATCATGTTCAAGAACATCTAAGCCCTACCATTTACCAGTGGTATTTTCCGGTCTGTGTCTGAGAAATTATAGTTTCCCATAATCACATGCTATTTACTATTGCATATTTTCTCCACAGTCTTTAGAGATAACTATCCCTACCCAAGTTAGTAACGGCTGACCACCTTTATACCAGTGGAGCCTTTTTTATTATTATTCTCTCTCATAATTTTCTAAAGTAACGTCATCTTATTTTATTTCTTTGAAACATTTTACTAAATTACACTGTCACTGCATGGTCTTTACCCTTACTTCTATCGTTCTATATAGCCACTCCTCCAATGACTATATTCTAAATATTACTCCTAAGCAGCAGTGTGCAGTATTATGTAACAGTAATGTGTAGTACTGCATTGATAGACAACGTTTCTGGCCCAGCAAATTATGAGATTTATTGAAAGCACTACTTTCTTATAACATGCACTTCCAAACTACTTACACATTGGTCACATATCTCACTGTTGTAATTGTCTCAGAATTCATTAAAAAGTTTTAGTCATGATATATAGCAAACGAAAAAAGAACAATTAAAGCACTTGGCATTTCATTAGATCAACACTTTTTTCCTTTGGCTATAAACATTTATAAATGTGGAAAAGCCTCTGTTTGGCATCTTTTAGATAGTATTAAGAGTTTGTTTTAACACTCTTTTGGGGAAGAATATATTAGTATAGTTGCTGGAGGTACAGACACTGGAATCCAGTTATGGTGGGGTGTTTTTTAGGGAAAAACAAGAGGACACGTATACCCCAGCAGAAAGTGGCAAAGAAGGAAATTGCAGGTTTGTCTCTGATGCAAACTTATTTGCAGACTCGCTGCTGGAGAAATGCAGGTTGAGTACACAGTTTTATCAGCCGTTCCAAAGCTAAGCAATCTCAAACAAGTGATGGGAACATTTAGGACATTGGTCTTTGATTCTCTTTCTGATCACAGGTTCACCGTGTCCTTTCAAAAGGTGCAGCTGTCAGACAGCAGCAAAAGGAGGGAGAGAGGAAGGGGGAGAGAGAGAGAGAGAGGGGAGCCGGAGAGGGAATGACAGAGGGGAGAAAGAGGGAGGGACAGGGAGATAGAAAGGAAAGCAGAGAAATGGGATGAAGAAGAAAAACAGCACGCAAGGAGGGAGTTAAGAGTATGAGCCAAGCTTCACGTTTTAGGGGCTGCTGAGGACATAGCCAGAAGCAGGGATGCTTAGTTCTCCTGGGTGGGTTGGCGTGGGGGTTACACAGAGGAAGATCTAGCAGGGTCAGGATGGATTTCAGGACTCTGGGAGATGCTGTAAGTGGTAACTATGACGTAAAGCTTGTCCGTTAAGGATCGCACATCCAACTGTTCCTCCCTAGTCATCCCTCAATAAACAATGTCCAAAAAGGATGGTGACCTCATCCCAGTGAAATTAGCCAAACACCACACATTTCTCCGTGTTCAGCTCTAGACAGTCCTTATAGCTCCGAATCTGCCAGCTGCCTGTCATGCCAACCCCATAATTTCACCCGGAGCTTTGAAGCCCCCTTCGCACAATTCCTCTAATTTAGCCCGGTCTGCAGCGTGTATTTGCCTCTGGCTCTTGCTGAGATCCATTAGCAATTTTTATGTGACAGATCCTCTTCTCCCGCTTCCTCTCACATCAACCCGGTCGCGCTGCAGCGAAATGACAAGCTGTATAATGTTTCCCCGCGTAAAAGAGACACCTCTGACATCTGTCAAATATCCGCCCTAATCGGGACATAATACCAGAGATCTGGAGCCTGATACAGGCGTTTATTTAGCCGGATTGCCCGCAGTGACGGGCTGCTCACTGAGGCTCGCCCCTCTCCCTTCCCTCAGCCCTCGGTG